AAGGAAACTAGACATTCTTGATTCAAGAATGATGCAACTTAAAGAATACTGCCCTACGGAATTCAATCGTCGTCCGAATAAGTTCTCCATGTTTCAACATTTCAAAGGCACTGAATTTAGACAAGTTTTACTGTATACTGCTCCGGCTGTGCTGCAAAATGTTATACATACTGAATATTATGAACATTTCCTTTTATTACATTGTGTGATGCGCCTTCTCAGTTTCCAAAATATCTCTGATGAAATATATATTTATTGCCATGCGGCACTGGAGAGTTACGTCAAGATGTGTGAGAAACTGTACGGAGAACAATTTATCTCGTACAATGTGCATGGTCTGTTGCATGTAGTTAACGATGTTATGCGATTGGGGCCGTTGGAATCATACAGTGCCTTTTGTTATGAGAATAACATGCCACAATTTCGAAAATACATACGAAAACCACATATGCCTCTTCAGCAGTTTTACGCTAGGATGTGTGAACTAAATGCCCTTGTTCTGCCTCCGGCCGATAATACAATAAAAATTTGTGGATCTAAAGTTCACGTAGAGGGACTTCTTCTACATCATATGCTAGCCTGTCATTGTCAACAATTTCGAAAATTACAAGTTGGGGATATAACATTTTCTACTTCCCGTCGTGACAATTGCTGTATTTTGAATAATTCAGAAATCTGCGTTATAGAAAACATAGTACAAATAGAAGGAAATATTAGTTTTATCGTCAGAAAATTCCGAACACAGGTTTACGTATACGACGTTGGTTTAACATCTGATTTGGCAGGTGTTTTCCAGTGTTCAAATTTATTAAATACACTTGAGACAATAAACTTAAACGATGTAAAAGGCAAAATATACAGGATGCCGAAATGGAGCTCTGAAGAAGGCACAGAAGAATGCACTATTAAAAATAAATGGATCTGTGTAACACTAATTACACCTCTGATATTGCCGCAACATTAAACAATATGAATGCAATCAAAGTTTATACAAATACACAATAGCAGATTTAATGAGAATAAATGCAATCTTTTATGAAAGCAATTTCAAATTTTCTGAAATCTATAACAGTAATACATTATGGCATATTTTGTAGTTATCAAAATAAAATATGGAGAAAGAAGAAAAAATGTTAAAAAACAAGAAATATTTAAAAACATCCAGCAGTGGCCGTCCACTGACAAGACCAAAAAAGTTAATGACGTTATCCTCGGACGAAATGTCAAAGCGCCGAAAAAAAACTCAGGGGCCAAACTATGGAAAAGGAGATCGATAGATTACGCCAATTAGTTAAAGAATCCAACACTCAAGATAGAAATAAAACGTTTTCGGAGAATATAATTACTTTAAACAAAGGAAACAACGTGATAATTTCAAACGCTGCCATCGAACCTTTGTAAGTAAAAGTAATACTAATTAAATGATTGTTTTTATAAAGAAATTTTATATAATTTTTGTAATATCGCATGAACTTCTAAATTTCTAAATGTTTAAAACTTAAATATTTTTTGTAAACATAATGTACAATGATTTGATTGCATTTGAAATATAATACTGTTCTTTCTCTTTTGTTTTTTCAGAGAAAAAGAAAAAGATATTGGAAGAAATTCTTTGGGATGGAGCAATTTAAAATCTGTCGAGTATCCAGGAATAAACTTTCCTCTTTTTTTAACAAGTACTCAAGAAAACTTTGACGAAATAGAAAAAGAGAATATAATCACTTCGAACAAAGGGGACGTGACAATTTTAAAAGCTCCTATCAGACTTCTGTAAGTAAACGAAATACTAAGGCTGAATTCCCACTGAGTGCGACGCGTCACCAATATGTTGTAATATAATATAATAACATAACATAATATTATGTATAATATGTATTATACAACATATATGAAATATGTGTTTTGATTGGTGACGCGTGACGCGACGCGCTCAGTGGGAATGCAGCTTAATGCAATGATTGTGTTCATTAAAGAATTTAATATTTTTGATATTAATATTCAATAAAAACAGCCGTTGATTTCTCGAAATAGGAGGTTGTAGTACTTTAATAAAATATTTTTGTCTTGTTAATAACATTTATTTCAAACGTTTTGGCCGTATCTATATGTTTTGGCTATTCTCAAGGTAACAAATTCACAATTTAAGAACCTGATGAAATGTTGTATTCTGATAAAATGTAAAAAGTGGACAAAATAATGATAAAAATGAAAAAATTAACAAGACAAAAATATTTTATGGCAGTATTACAACCTCATATTTCCGGGCTTGAACAATCGGTTCTTTGTTTTTTATTGATTATATTATAGCACTGCTTTTATTTTGTTTTCCAAAAGAAAAGAAATACATGTGTGTGATAAAAAAGATTCTTCTATAAGGAGCAGTCCAAATAGAACTTCGCCTGTTTCTTCGACAGCTTTACAAGAAAATTCACAAGAGAAATGCATACATTACAAGTGCAAAGACACACTTCACAGATTGACGTGAGTATATTTTCATTATTTTTTTTATTAATACACATACATAATACACATTTTTGTATAAAAGATATACTTATTTCAATACATTTGCAGCGAGCTTGAAGAACAAAACAGAATAATAATTGAAAGCTTAGTTGAAATTAAAGAAGATCAAGTTCAAATGAAAGAAGGTCAAGTTCAAATAAAAGAAATGCTGAAGGAGGTGATACGGATGATAAGTGAGGACGGTGACAATAATGCCACGAAAACATTATATGAACCACTTGAGGGCTTTCCAATGCAGAGATTAGAAGATTTTATAGAAATGGAAAGCGATAATAAGAAAACGGAGCGTAAAAAGCTGGTGAGTACTTTTCCGAAATTATACGTGTAAAACTCAATTTTAGACATAATAAAACATTAATCTCGTTCATAATAAAACATCACAAGATTTTTCGAATATTAGACATTTAAAATATTATTTAATATAATGTTAAATATTATTAAATAATATTATTAAAATTAAATGCTTTTTTATTGCTTAATATCTTAGATATACTCTGTATGAAAAACAATTTATTTTTATATCAGTAGTTCTGAGTTTTTTCTTTAATACATATGGAATTTATTATATAATAATACATATAGAATTTATTATATAATAAATTCCATATGTATTATTACATATAAAAACTCAGAATTGACATAAAAATAAATTATTTTTTCATGCAATATGCTATCTGGGTTATTATGTATTGCCTGTATAATAGTGAAATTATATAATATAATAAGATATTTATGTTTTATTTCAGTATCGTCACTTGCTGGGATTAGGCGGATCAAAACTGAGAGACTTTTTACATTGCTCACTAAAATAGATCATGATGGACGATTTAATTTGTAAGTTTACGTGGCCCGGTATTGCGGATCGACAAAATTAGCAAATACGAAGCTTATGACCGTTTTATATTGTGAGTACTGTTTATATATACTTATATACTGATATATATCATGTGGTAGTAATGGTTTGACCTATATGAACGCGACCTTGTCAATGTTATATTACCTAGAATTGTTCAATTAGGAACTCTCTCCATTTTTCATTGTTTATTTTTTTATTTAAAGTAAAAGCGTTTTTTAAATACTTATTTACAGGTCTTTTAAGCTAAAAACTTTCATAAGTATGAGTTTTGAATATTCAAGGCTACTTGAAGATAATTCTGATAAAAGTTGTGTTTTGTAAGAAATTATAATTTGCCACAATATTGCCAAGATCATTCAAGTCAAACAAATATTACCACATAACGGATCTCTCAATAACTTTTATTTATGTTTCTTAGTTGCTGCTCAAAAGTGCACATTATTTAACGGCCCGGACAATAAGTTCGAGTTTAAGACAAATATGCAGGAGGTACTACGTTCTATAAAACAACGGCATCGAAAGAAGCTAAAAAAAACTACTGTTGCCACTACTGATGTGCCGTGTCAAGATGAATCTATTGATGACGAACTCATCGAAGACTCTGAAGATGAGACTGATTACGAGTTAGGCCCTTAGATACATATTGTAATCATTTACATCTTTTATTTTCATCTTTTATGTTTAAGCATTTAATTTTCAGAATGGTTACATTTCTAAACTTCAATTTTAATACTTTGCAAATCTTACATATGTTATTATTGTTATATTCGCGGTATTTATTTATATTTTATACAGGTATTCTAGTTTAGCGAGCTTTGTATTGCGCTTATTCTTTTGATTGTATTATTTCATTATTTTTTTGTATGTAGTCTATCTCACGTTAAAAGTGAATTACTGTATTACATTTTATTTTATATACATATTTTATATATGTTCAATATTTTATACAAAATAAATAAAAAAATGTATACGTATTCATTTTCTTATATTTTTCCCAAAATATTAAAATATAAATATATTAATGCGATATTTCAAACCTCATTAGAAGCTCATTTTGCTCGCACGCATGAAGGTCGCATGTTTGTCCGGGCTCATGCGAGCTCATGCGTGCGAGCGATATCGCCCCTTATTGAGCGCGCATCTGTCTGTTTCAGTGACATCACCGCCATGCGAGTAATCCGCACGTGTGCACGCACCATGAGCTCATAATGCGCGGATTTTGTTATCTGGGGTGTACGATGATGTATTCAATAAATGTTTTTTAATAACTTTTTAATAAACAACGAGCGACGGATAAAATCTTTTGATTATTACTTGGGGATGTGTCCTTGACAGCATATGTCAATTGACTTTTAAAGGTGTTGACCTTATGTGAATATTTACGAAATAAAATATTTGCCATTAAATATTACGCACTAATATATACAAAATGTTAATAATACTATTTCTAATTACAGGTCTGTGTGTTCTGGGCTGATAAGCGTAGTCAAAAGTTTGGTGGTCCAGGACGCACAGTCGAAATCGATGAAGCAAAAATTGGCCGACGAAAATACAATCGTGGATGGCTGATAAAAGGTCAGTGGATTTTTGGAGGATACGAGCGAGACTCAAAGAAGATTTTCATCGTTCCAGTAGAGGATCGTAAGGAAGAAATACTCCTGGTATGTATCAAGGAATGGATCTTGCCAGGAACAACAGTAATATCAGATTGTTGGAAGTCTTATAATTGTTTGAACAATGAAGGCTTCCAACATCTGACAGTAAATCACTCCTATAACTTTGTCGATCCTCAAACTGGTAAGAAGTGTTTAAAATTAATACATATTTTTTAATATTCCACTGTATTATGTTCCAATATATGTATATATTTTTAAAATTTAAAAGTGCGCACACACGGCACATAGAGCGTATTTGGAGGGAGATTTGGGGAAATATTCCACGATATGGAAGAAAATCCAATCATATTGTAACGTTGCGTATTTTTACGATGCGTAACGATGCGGAATTTTACAACACATGCAACGAAGCGGATTCTTTCGATGCGGAATAACTCGCCTGTTCGTCAGGATTCGTTCGAGTGGTTGTCGGGAGACTCCAAATTAATAAAAGTAAATTAAACAAAATAAATATTTATTCAAGAAAACATTTGAAGATGATATAATAAAAGAAACATAAAAAAAGTGACAATGGGTACATAAGTATTTTCTATCGGTTAATCTAATTTCTCAACGGTGTAAACGTGAACGTATATAAATGAGAGCAGCAAATTATTGGGAATTATCGGATAAGTAAACTGCGTAAATTAATAAACGTGTTGCGCAACTAAATCTAATTAATCCTAAGTCGGTCGGTTTTTACGGTACGGATTAAGAATATTGAAAAATAAACGATACCGCGTGTATCCGAGCTTGATGAGTCGTCGACGGTTGCCGGTGCGCCGTGTTCGGAGACAGAGAGAATCTTCTCTCTTACGAGGAATGTCGGCAGTCGAACGTCCGGGAACAACCCGACCGAAGCAGAGAACGTTTTGCTTCTAGAACGACGGAATGTCGGAAGTGACAGGAAATCGGTTACCGGGAACGCCCGGCCGAAGCAGAGAACATTCTGCTCCTTTTCCGACTGTCAGGACGGGAGCGAGTACGACTGGAGCTTCAGAGTGCGCCCTGAGGCTTGTCCGAGTCGTACTCGAGGGAATGGTCTGGGGTCTGCTCCGCGATCCGACTTTTATACCGGTCGCGCTACCTTCACTTGAGGTGCTTTCCTGCCCGGGAGCTACCCCTTCTCGAGCTACTACCCTTGAGTTGGGGTTCGGAATGCGGCCCGCAATGGGGGGTGTTTACGCGGAGCCCGATCGGCGCTTCGTAACAGCGCGTACTGTTACAATATGATTGGATATTTATCCGAATTTCTCTTCAAACATGCCTATACCCGTCTAAACGTATTGAAATCTTTTTTGATGTCATCGCTGAGATGTATCCTCCAATGTCTACATCCGAAAACCAACCAGAAACATCCTGCGACGAACCGAGCACGAGCGCTACTTAAAGACACGTTTCTTGCGTACATTCTTTACAGTCAATACATTATTTTCTCAATATTAACATTATTAACACTTACTACACTTAATTATATATGCTAAAACACCGTGTTAAATTAAAAAGTCTAATAATTCTTCCTTCGAATATGTATTAATCTTTTATGCAATATGTATTTATATTAATATACATATTTTGTAATATTTAATAGTAATATATATTTGTAAACATATCATTTTTAATAATTCGGCAGTATATCCAATTTTTTTTAATCATTAATATGTTTATTTAAAAAATAATGTATATTTTATATTTTGTACGCATTTCTATTGACAACGCATCGCAACGTATCGCTACACTTCGTCGGTACGACAGGTTTTGTAACCTGAAAAGTGGTCAACTTTAACGATTAATATCTCGCTTCGCGGGGAAGCGACACTTCTTTCAAATAGAAAAGTTTCATTTAACACAAAAACGCGTCGAATAAGCGTAATTGGATCAAAATCGGAGTAAAGGTAGCGATACTGTATAATTACCAGCAAAATTTTTAATTCATCTATTGTCAGATAAGATGTCAATTTTTCGAGACTGGTGCCGAAAAATCTAAATAAATTTATAAAACGCAATTTGACGCAAATTTTGGAATTTTGATCCTCCGTATCTTTAACATTTTTTGTAAAAAAAATGTAACGTTCCTTCGTCAGCGGCAGGTTGCCTTCAAATCAATGTTGCCTTTAAAGGCATTGGCAACGTCTTTGATGATGAAATGCGCGTCGTAACCGGATAAATTGTGAAATATAATACGGGGATAACTGGGAGTCTTTGTAATTTAAATTACACGACGAGTGCACGGGACCTCTGTAGCGCCCGATGAGATGACAATGACTGCGCACCCGCGTATCCTCCGGTGTGAACGGTTTCTCGCACACGTGACAATTTACGGCGCTACGAAATTTCTCCGATTCCTCCCGCGTAGAGCCTTAAGATCCGCCATAAGGACAACGGTGGTAAGGATCGCTTTCATGCGGCGTGCCAAATCGTGAAGTTGGTCATTGACAAATTACGCTACGCAATCCTTACCGCGACTTAAAACTAGATAACGAGTTATTGTAAGTGCAACTTACATAATATCCTACGCTAAACGCCTTGTGATGTTGGTAGACTTATGTGGTACGGTTTTGTCCCTCCTCCTTCTCCAGCGTGCATTCCAGATTGGCGTACACCACAAACGGGAACCGCTCCTTCTAGTTGTAGTTTCGGAATGTCAGCCACTTGTTGTCTTTGTTGGGAAGAATGACTGCGGAGTTGTTCATTTTCCCGCAGTCGACGCTGTGGACTGACAATTTTTCGCTCGTCTGGAAATAGTGTAGACACCTGTAATAAATTGTACGATTAATATTGTAAATAACATTTTAAATTATTTTATACGTGTTTTTTTTTACTTACCGATCGCAAA